ATTATATAACACTGGTGGGAAAACATGGTCCTCCTGTAGATGTTGGGCATAGAATCACACTATCGGTACTAGATATTTCTACAGAGATAGTGTCTTTTTATTCACCTTCTCTCCACTTTCACAGGGGTCCTGCATCCCTAATCCAAGCAAAATCGGAGTGCCGACTGTACTTTAATGCTTAATAGCCTTTTGGGCCATCTGGAGGAGCCCTTCGTATCTAGTCTTTCGCTTTTGAAATGGCTAAGACTGTCCAACAGAAAAACAGGAAGCGCTTAAAATATACCATTCAGGCTACGTGACCTCTCCTTCCCTGTTACAAAGGCCAGCTGTTGACTCACACCCATATCTATTTGCTCTTGTGGAGAAGAGGAGCTTGGAATGGGTTTATTCTGGCAATCAGAATGATTCCCTTTTGCTGAACAAATATTTGCAGACGTTTTAGACCTCATGCCATTTTCAAAGCTGGAATAAAAAGCCAGAATGTGCCCAGTCAGCCAGGGGAGGGGGGCTTCTGCAGGAGGTGATGTTATAATGGGAACACCAGTATTATTCAAGGAAGTTTACTTGTCTAAAAGCATGTATAATAATGCCTATGAAAGTAACTAGTCCAGTTAGAGAAAAGTACAAGGAAATTACAAAGAAAGATTAGAAAGAGTATACAGTATACAATACAGTCTCCATATTCACACAAGAATATTAGGCTTGGTTGATAAAAATGGTTCAAAATTAGTTTCGGATGTAGGGGGTGCTAGTTGTTCGATTCAAAACTGAATTCTGATTTTTTCCAAAAATAAATTTCGGAACTTTCCAAAATTTCCGAATTGCTTCATTTATGGCGGACGCAATTGCATAATACGCGAAAAACAGCAAATGGTACTGGGCAAACTTCAGGGGATTCTCTCTCCCTGATTTCAAAAATTAGGGAAATATAGGCATGAATGTATGGGATTTCTAGTGTCTTCTTAGGCAACTCACAGCAAACAAAGAAAATAACAAACAGCCCTGCCCTTTTTGCCTTGGAAGCTGATTCCACTACTTTGGGAAGGAGAGTTTGTGTTCAAAGAGTGGCTTGAATTGTTGGAAGATCTAGTTCTCTTGAGGCAATGTGCAACACAAACTAAAAAACACTGAGGCCAGAGAGACCAGCTACAATGTTGGCTTCTAAAAATGTTGGAGTGAGTGCTTTGGTTCCTCCTTGTTGTTCCTTCCACCCATGCTACTCACCCACACACTACCCTCGCAGTGCCCGCCCAACCCAAACCCCAACAGCAACATCACACAAGCGGCAAGGCAGGCTGCCCGCTGCCCAGGCAGGCAGGCAGGCAGGCACTGCTAGCAACAGCCCTTCTCCCAGCCCTTCTTCCTTTCTGCTTGCTTGCTTGCCCATCGTGCTCTTCTTCCAACCTACCTTCAACACAACCTCCCTTTCCTTAGTCTTTGTCTTTCTTTTTCTCTTTTCCTTTCCCTTTCCCCTTTCCCCTTCTCCCTTTCATCCTCATTCAAACATTACTGCTAGGCTAATTAGCCATGGATCTGCCACAAACATACTGCCAATGACCCACTTTAGGTCCTGGTAAGATTTTGGAGGAGCATGGACTTTAGACAATGGGATTTGCAGTACTTGCACCCACATCCAGAGACTACTGCTAACCCCATAATATGCACCAATGGATATGCACCAATATCTAATGGGTCCATTCATAACATCCAAAAACAAACAATACCCCTTTTCAATAACCTGTACATCACCAGGTGCCTAATCTTGTTAATAATATAACTGCATGCAGCCCTCTGAAAATTTAGGAAAAGGAACATGGTTTGTTTCTTTTTGTATCCTATTACATTCAACCACTATATTGCAATTACATGCATATGCTTTATGCCTGAGACTTTAATGCCACTCTGTACTGCATCTGAAAAAGTGGGTTTATATCCACAAAATATAAAAACCTGTTATTCTTAAAGATACTGACACATCTATTTTCCCTCCCCCTTCTTTCCTCCTTTTTCCTCCTTTTTATGCTTCTAGAGACTAACGCAGCTTCTTCTTTAAGACTGCATGACATGCATTTATAACATATATGCCACATATAAATTCTAGATATGCTCCAAAGTTCAATTCTACAATGTTTTGGAAGCTATTATGGTGAGTAACCTTTGGATGTTGATTACAATCTGTTGTCCTCACTTGCCTTTGGAAGTAATTGTCTGATTAGATTTTTAAATAAATGGATGGCCATCTGTCAGAAGTGCTTTGATTGTGCCTTTCCTGCATGGCAGGGGGGTGGACTGAATGGTCCTTCTGGTCTCTTTCAACTGTATGATACTGTGATCCTATGGTTGTCTGTAAATGGAGGAGTTTGGGTAGTGAGCTGGTTGCATACTACTGAACCACTAATAAGGAAGGAAGTAAAGGGGGAAAAGAAAAATAAATTAGGATTTATGGCCATCGTCATCTCAGTACATCGGAACAAACATTTCAGAATCTGGAGTAGATATTTATTCCTTTCTTCCACTCTCAAATTCTTTAAGATAACATGGTCTTTGTCCATATTGACTTAGGAAATCTAGAAGATGGAACCCAAAATAGTAACTTTTCTAAAAAGCATTTTTCTAAACTCTGGTTCATATTATTCTCTCTCTGTCTCATACACGTACAAACAGTTTACTAAGTTGACAAAACAGCTGTCTGTTTGCACTCAAATATTTCATAGCAACATGCATTTTTGCCAACCTCTTTTCCAATAATAAGTGCCGAGTCCCTGAACTCCTTGTTTGGAGAAATGGGGAGAATATAATATATATGTAACTTCTGAAGGATCAAGGCTGCGATTCAAGCATACTTAAGTGGAAGTAAATCAAGCTGAACATGGTGTATTATTTTTGAACAACCCAAAATAGGGTTGCATTCTAAGTCTTATTGAATCCAGATGGAATCATGCCGAGAATCGGGCTATCCAGTGTTAAGCAACAGTAGTACTGGACACAGAGTATCTTAAGTATAAAAATTATTTTATTACTTTGGGGTTTAACATGACTTTTCCATATACCAGAGAAATCACAATATGTACAAAATATAAAGATAGTGAGAGCCACTCTTTGCATACAAATCAGTTGCAACTGAAGTAAAATAGAACTGTAGTATTTCCCATTTCTAAAGGTTTACAGCTATGTGCTTCCTTTGCTATTCACTGAACCATTGCAGCAGGAATATTAAAAGTTTGGACTACATCAGATTGCTAATTGCTAGTAGAGTAAACCCATTATATGAGTAAGTTTTACATAATGGTTGACAACATTTAGCAGTTAATTAGGAATGGGTCTATTCTATTGTAACTCATAACTGAATTTGGCCAGTGTGTCTATGGCAGGGGTGTCAAATTCCTTTTCACTGAGGGCCACATCAGCCTTATGGTTGCCTTCAAAGGGTCATTGAAGCCATGGATGGAGAATACCTGGATACAGAGGACTATCTCCCCCCCCCTCTCTCTCTCTATATATATATATATATACACTACACACACACACACACACACAGATACACACAGGATATGTGTGTGTGTGTGTGTTTGTGTGCTCTTTATTTTTTACCTAGTTTGGGTCCTTCAATGCTATTGAATGACAACTCCCATCACTTTTGATTATATGCTATGTGGGCCAGGAATAATGGGTATTGCAACCCAACAACACATGTGGTTCTGAGGTGAAAGGACATTTTAAAATCAGGTATCATATCCACAAGCCTTTCAATTAAATTTAAATCCCACTGTCCTGACTATAACAGAACAAACGTCAGCCTTCCAAATGTTACGATATCACAATTCCCATCAGCTCTAGTCATGATGTCTAATGTTGAGGAATACAGAAGCTGAACTCTGGCATCTGGAGGGCCACATAAAATGACACGATGGACCAGATTCGGCCCACGACCCTTGAATTTGACACATGTGCTCTATGCTATTAAGATAGTCCAGTCCACACTGGGACATAGTCTAAAGCAGTCCAAGGTCATCCACAGCAGTAAGCCAAAATAAGAGTGAGACACAAGAGTATTCCAAAGTCCTTTCCAAAATGTTCAAAGTCAAGTTATCTCACCAACATGGAGGTTGCAAGCCAAAACATATTTCACTCACCAAGTCAAGGTTCACCAGCAGATATTCAGGCAATAACAATTTCCCCGACGTTGCTTCCAGCACCTAACTGATTCAGCCTCCAGCTACTTATACCACTTTCTCAAGTGAACCCACGTGTTGGCCCTCCTTTCAGCTAACCTACTGGATCTCCTCAGGGCCCTTCCACACAGCCATATAACCCAGAATATCAAGGCAGAAAATATCTGCTTTGAACTGGGTTATCTGAGTCCACACTGCCATGGATTTCAGTTCAAAGCAGATAATGTGGCATATTATTTCGCTGTGTGGAAGGGGCCTCAGTTGAATGGTATCTGTTCTTAATTGCAGCCTAGCTGGAACACTTAGTTCCTGGTTTGCTTTCTCAAGCTCCCGATCCTACTCTAGCTCTCTATCTCCTTGGAGCTGCTGCTCTGCAGAGGTGGGTTCCTCGGTGTTAGGGCCCTTCTACACTGCATATAAAATCCCGATTATCTGCTTTGAATTAGATTATATGGCAGTGTAGACTCATATAATCCAGTTCAAAGCAGATAATGTGGATTATCCATTTTGATAATTTGGGTTATATGCCTCAGACTGCTCATGATGATGATCTAGATTTGCCCCTGACCTAGTGAATTTGTTAGGTTCTCCAACATAACTGTATGGTACCCTCAAAGGGGAGCAAACCATAGAACCACACTGCCCTATATGCCGAGATCTGATCCCAGGCTTGAACTGGATTATATGAGGCCCCTTCCACACAGCTGTATAAAATTCACATTGAACTGGATTATATGGCAGTGTAGACTCAGATAATCCAATTCAAAGATTTTGTGGATTATCTGCCTTGATATTCTGGATTATACGGCTCTGTGGAAGGGTCCGGAGGCCCTTTCCACACAGCTGTATGAAAATCCCACATGTTCTGCTTTGAACTGGAATGTATGGCAATGTGGACTCAGATAAACTAATTCAAAGCAGATATGGTGGGATTATCTGCATGATATTCTGGGTTATATGGCTGTGTGGAAGGGCCCTGAGTCTACATTGCCAGATAATCTGGGATAAGCAGATCATCTGGGATCAGATCCTGGGACATAGAGCAATGTAGACACAGCCTTAGAGAACTTGGCAAATTTCTGGTAAGACCCTTTTCCCTGGGCATGTGTAAATGAAGCCCCATATGTGAGTTCTGAGGTTACAGGGATCTAACTTTATACTACAGAACTTCGGCTATTATGAGAAACCTTTCTTCTAAATGTGTGCAGTGTTTAATTTGTGGAAGAAAGCTTATCAAACAAGAATATTTGATGACAACTGCTTCACCTTGATAGGTGATATCTGAAAAACGGGACTATAATCATACGCCCTCCAATTGTCCTGAACTCACAGGGATGCCCCTGATTTGTCTTCTGCTGGCCCACTATTTTTGCCTGCTTTAAAAATGTCTGTTTCTCTTTGCCCTTCCCATGCTCTCCATTTCATAGAATCAAAGAGTTGGAAGAGACCTCATGGGCCATCCAGTCCAACCCCCTGCCAAGAAGCAGGAATATTGCATTCAAATCACCCCTGACAGATGGCCATCCAGCCCCTGTTTAAAAGCTTCCAAAGAAGGAGCCTCCACCACACTCCGGGGCATTTATCCTTAACTAACTTCAATTATTGCAAAAGAGGTTCAAAGTATCAAAGTACTTTGCTCTGAGTTACATAGCAAGATGGAGTGGAGAGGAAGAGCAAAATTTTTCCCTTCCCAGTAAGCTCATGCAAAAGCACGTTGCTGCTGCTACTTTTCCTAACTTGAGTCTTTTTCCTCATCATAACTTTTACCAGTTTACCAGTTTACCAATAACTGGCCACATGTATCCCAGTTATCATCTGTGAAATGCTGAAGGGTATGCAATTAGCCTTAGATATGACAGTCCTGACCAAGTCTTTCTGCCAACTTTAGCACTTTTGTGCTTTCAGTCCAGAGATGAAGCTTGGAAAAGACATTTATCTATTTACCCCTTCCCACTTCCAGGTACAGAATCATCTAAATAATCTGCTCTGGCTGCTTTTTTATAACTGCTTTATTTTCTGCTCCAGTGCAAGGAGCTCTCTTTCCATCTCATAGGGGAGGTCGGCATTCACTTGCTCTTCAAAGTATTTCTTGATTTCTTCCACCTCCTTTTCCCAGAAATCCTTGGAAACATCACACAGTTCTTGCATGTCAACACCTTCCAGGCCCTTCAAGTTCACACCTGTGTCACTGGGGACGTAGCCAATGGCTGTGCGCCTTGCACAATCCTCTCCTTGGATTCGGTTGAACATCCATTCCAGCACACGGCAATTCTCGCCATACCCTGGCCAGAGGAATCTCCCTTGCTTATCCTTTCGGAACCAATTGACATGGAAGATCTTTGGCAGTTTTGCACCAGGCCGATGAGCCATGCTGAGCCAGTGGGAGAGGTACTGGCCAAAGTTGTAACCAAAGAAGGGTCGCATAGCAAAAGGATCGTGCATGATGGTCTTGCCTGTATAAAGAAGATGGCAATGTTATGAAAAATTCTCTGCATTCAGAACATTATTTCTATGATCAACTGATATAAATCTCTTTGATTCGAACATTGATATCAGAATTCATAAAGCAGAGAGTTGGAAGAGTTAGAAGACCATCGAATCCAACCCCGTGCACAGACTAGAAAATCTAGCTAGAGCAGTGTTTCTCAACCTTCCTAATGCTGCGACCGCTTAATACAGTTCCTCATGTTATGGTGATCCCTAACTATTTTTTCCATTTCTACTCCATAACTGTAATTTTGCTACTGTTATTAATCGTAATGTAAATATCCAATATGCAGGATGTATTTTCATTCACTGGACCAAATTTGGTACAAATACCCAATACGCCCAAATGTGAATACTGGTCAGGTTGGAGGAGGGGGGTTGATTTTGTAATTTGAGAGTTGTAGTTGCTGGGATTTATAGTTCACCTACAATCAAAGAGCATTCTGAACTTCAGCCTTGATGGAATTGAACTAAACTTTGCATACAGAACTCCCATAACCAACAAAAAAAATACTAGAAGGGCTTGGTAGGCAATGACCTTGAGTTTTGGAGTTGTAGTTCACCTACATCCAGAGAGCACTATGGACTCAAACAATGATGGATTTGGACCAAACTTGGCATGAATACTTAATATGCCCAAATGTGAACACTGGTTGAGTTTGAGGAAAATAGACCTTGACATTTGAGAGCTGTTGTTCACCTACAATCAAAGAGCATTCTGAACCCCACCAACGATGGAATTGGGCCAAACTTAGGCTGTAGGCTATTAGGAATTGTGGGAGTTGAAGACCAAAATTCCAAAACATCAAAGTTTGCCCATGACTGTTGTAGATTCATCCTCAGTTACTTCCTCATATGATGTATTCTCCTTCTTATCATTTTAGGCACCTACCACACAGCTGTATAAAATCTACATTGAACTGGATTATATGGCAGTGTGGACTCAGACAACCCAGTTCAAAGCAGATATTGTGGATTATCTGCCTTGATATCCTGCATTATATGGCTGTGTGAAAGGGGCTTCAGCTGCTTTTTGTACCCATTCCAATTTATCTATATCCTGCTTGAAAGGAGGTGCCCAAACCTGAATGCACTACTCCAAATGAGGGCAGTTTATATTAGAATATAATGAATCGATCACTTCCCTTGACATGGAAATTATGCTTCTATTAATGTTGTCTGCAATATTATTTGCATTTTTTGTTGTGGTATCACACAGCTGGGTCATGTTCAACTTATGATCAACAATAATCCCCAGATCCTCAGGAATACCACATCCTATACCTGTGCACCTGGATTTTGAAGTCTAAATGAATTACTTTCTTTCCCACTAACAAGGGTATTATAAAGCTACATTTCCATAGGAATGTAATGATTGGGAGAAGAAGACAACCTTAAAGGTGGATAGTCAAGCAAACCCACAGTCCTGTGTTTGTAGGACCAAAGCAGGACAGTTTATGAGATGGTGTCTTAGGGCCCTTCCACACAGCCATATAACCTGGAATAGCAAGACAGATAGAATCATAGAATCATAGAATCAAAGAGTTGGAAGAGACCTCATGGGCCATCCAGTCCAACCCCCTGCCAAGAAGCAGGAATATTGCATTCAAATCACCCCTGACAAATGGCCATCCAGCCTCTGTTTAAAAGCTTCCAAAGAAGGAGCCTCCACCACACTCCGGGGCAGAGAGTTCCACTGCTGAACGGCTCTCACAGTCAGGAAGTTCTTCCTAATGTTCAGATGGAATCTCCCTTTCCTGTAGTTTGAAGCCATTGTTCTGCACGCTAGTCTTCAGGGCAGCAGAAACAAGCTTGCTCCCTCCTCCCTATGACTTTTCTCCACATATTTATACATGGCTCATATCTCCTCTCAGCCTTCTCTTCTTCAGGCTAAACATGCCCAGCTCCCTAAGCCGCTCCTCATAGGGCTTGTTCTCCAGACCCTTGATCATTTTAGTCGCCCTCCTCGGGACACATTCCAGCTTGTCAATATCTCTCTTGAATTGTGGTGCCCAGAATTGGACACAATATTCCAGATGTGGTCTAACCAAAGCAGAATAGAGGGGTAGCATTACTTCCTTAGATCTAGACACTATGCTCCTATTGATGCAGGCCAAAATCCCATTGGCTTTTTTTGCCGCCACATCACATTGTTGGCTCATGTTTAACTTGTTGTCCACGAGGACTCCAAGATCTTTTTCACACGTACTGCTCTCGAGCCAGGCGTCACCCATTCTGTATCTTTGCATTTCATTTTTTTCTGCCAAAGTGGAGTATCTTGCATTTGTCACTGTTGAACTTCATTTTGTTAGTTTTGGCCCATCTCTCTAATCTGTCAAGATCGTTTTGAATCCTGCTCCTGTCCTCTGGACTATTGGCTATCCCTCCCAATTTGGTGTCATCTGCAAACTTGATGATCATGCCTTCTAGCTATTGCCTATCCCTCCCAATTTGGTGTCGTCTGCAAACTTGATGATCATGCCTTCTAGCCCTTCATCTAAGTCATTAATAAAGATGTTGAACAGGACCGGGCCCAGGACAGAAGCCTGCGGCACTCCACTTGTCACTTCTTTCCAAGATGAAGAGGAAGCATTGGTGAGCACCCTCTGGGTTCGTCCATTTAACCAATAACCGATCCACTAATCAAGGCAGATAATCCTCAATATCTGCTTTGAACTGGATTATCTGAGTCCACACTGCCATATAATCCAGTTCAATGTAGATTTTATACAGCTGTGTAGAAGTGACCTTAGAGGTCTCTCAATCATAGGGTTGCCATAAGTTGAAGCTGATTTGTCTGTAATTAACAAGAAATATCTCCTAGTTAGTGGTACATCTTTTCAGCCCTCTGCATTGATATTTTTCACAGTTCATACACTACACGATTCAGCCTACCACATAAATATATTTGCAATAAAAAGAGAGAGAAATGAAAAATAAACTATTTGTAGTTTCCTTGTGGCAGTGTTTCTGCTTTCACTTGGACATACATTTATGCTCCGCAGCTGCTGTTGCTTCCGATCTCATTGTTGCACCTATGAATACTCCATGCTGCCAGTTGAAAGCCTCATAGACCAGAGGCACGCCTGGAGAGAAGGAGGGAGGCACAGCATTTAAAGGTCAGTGGTCCTGGGCACATAACAGTTTGCTACTTCAAATAAACAGTGCTGATGCAGTGTAAATGGTAAATTTCTAAGTTACATCTCCTTCCCCCTCCTTGTTGATTTTATTAAAACATTTCTATCTCATTTTTCCTTGTGGGATTTCATGGTGGCATGCAGATAAAACAATAAGCAATTTAAAACAATCAAATAGCTTCAATGGAATGAATATATTAAACACGACAACAAGTTAAAACAACTTAGAAGTCTGTATTAAATAAATGTACAAGTACACTTGTTATCTGCTAGGATTTGGTTAAACTGGGTACCTAAACCTGTGGATGTTCATATCGCATTATATACTAGGTTTGCACATTCAGGGTAAACCTTGACTCATTTCGTCTCCTGGCTTTCAGTGGGGGCCCCTATCCATTTCTTGGGAGCCTCCCGAAATCGGGAGTGCAGATACCTTTTTTTGCACTGGGATGCTGAAAGATCCATTTTCTATCAGCCTATTATGGGGAGGGGGGCTTCCCAGGCTCCCCTTCCCATCATTTTAGGCATTTAAGCTGTTCTACTCTAGAGGAGAGGTGCTCAGCTGCAGGCAGGGGTGCGCTTTGAGGAGGCTTCTTACCTGTTTCTACTCCAGAGGAGAGGCACTCGGTTGCAGGCAGGTGCACACGCTTTCTGGGTCTGCACATTACACACGCACACACTCTTTCCAAGGCAAGTTCTCCTTATTCCTCTAGAGCAGGCATCCTCAAACTGTGGCCCTCCAGCTGTTTGGGCCTCCAACTTACAGAAACCCTTATAAGCTTGTTCAATTGTCAGGAATTCTGGGAGGTGGACGGCCACATTTTGAGGATGCCTGCTCTAGAGGAAGCACTCAGCTGCAGGCAGGTGCACATGCATGGGTTCTGGGCCTGCCCACCAAATATGCACTCTTCTCAAGGAAAGGAGGCATGAAGTGTCATGTGTTCACAAAAAGCAAGTGAGGAGCTGGGATTGGCTCCCGTTTGCTTTTGGGTCAAGCTGATTTTCGTACTGGGAGGGGCCTTCCCGTTACATGCTTCAGAAGGTAACGAAACGATCAAAAGAACTGATGAAATGAAGTAAAACGGTTCCATGCACAACCCTATTATATACTTAACTTGGAACAAGAAAGGTTGGTGCCAAGTGGACCTCTAAAGGGAAGGAATTCCACAATTGGGGTGAAAGAGATACACCCCTCTTCCATGTTCCATCTTCTCCCACAACATATTATCCTAATTGTGGAGACACAGGGAGAAGCCTGCCTTCAAGTATTGAGCTGTAGTTTGTCAATGTCATCACTACCCCTATAATTGAAACTAATGGCAAAACTATAGTATGTGCAGAAGATTTAAAATAGGTGCTAGGTGATGTCTATACGCTATGCCTGTCATCAGTTCTACTTCCATGTTTTTGAATAGCTGTAGCTCTCAATTCTTTTTCAAGATCATTGCAGTAGTCTAATTTTTTTTTATCGTGTCAGGAGCGACTTGAAAAACTGCAAGTCGCTTCTGGTATGAGAGAATTGGCCGTCTGCAAGGATGTTGCCCAGGGGACGACCGGATGATTTGATGTTTTTATCATCCTTGTGGGAGGTTTCTCTCATGTCCCTGCATGAGGAGCTGGAGCTGATAGAGGGAGCTCATCCGCCTCTCCCTGGATTCAAACCTGCGACCTGTCGGTCTTCAGTCCTGCCGGCACAGGGGTCTAACTGTGGCTAAGTTATCCCTCTGCAGGGGTAGCTGGTACAGCAGTCAAAACTTGATCTTTGAAGGTTTATCTAATTGTATCAGGCCATGTAAACAGTTCAAATAATGAGGCTACCATCCATGTTTTATAAGGAGTCAGGGAAGAAAATGTCCATTCGCATTTTCAATATATTTAGAGCTACTACTCTGGAGCAACTAAGATAATCTGTAGACTTGCAAAAAATGCTGAACCTCACTCTAAATGGAATATTTGCTGTCCTCGTGATGTATAACAACATGTGGTGAATATTGTGGGGGTTTGTTCTGATTTTTGTTTCAAAACAATTTTGTCCCACTTTGGCCAAAATCAGGGGGAAATCTGGAGTTTACTGGAATCTCATAGGTTCAGAACACCTTGGATAGCAGGATCAGGTCAAATTCAGCCCAATACATTGATCCTTTCCCTGCACTAATAAGTGCAGGGAAATGGGATGGATCATACCCTTCTTCTTCCTGTCACATGGGTGTCCCATTTTGATGTCTGCAGAGATGCCCACAATGGCAAGGAGCTCTGAGAGATCTCTTTGGCTGGCTAGGAACAGGGATGCAGAGGAGGTGAGAAGGTTGCCCTTGCTCCCAGGACATATGGATAACACCCCCAGGACGTATTTGCACAGGCTAAACTGCCCAGTGTACATGGCCCCTAGGAGAGTAAGGAGTCTAGATGGGTCTACAAAGTACATGGCATTTCCCTGCTCACTAATGACCTATGGAAACAAGGTGTAGGAGCAGAAATTCATGCATCGCAACAGATGGAAAGCATTAATCCCTGATGTAGCAGAACATTGAAAATGGCAGTTACATGGTTCATTTCATACTGGCCTTGACAATATCTAATAGAATTACTTATCTCTTGGCTACCTCATTACTGCAATAACCCTAGCTCCTTCCTTGGGAACTTTTGGCAAATCTTTAAAATTAAAAAAAACAAGCAAAAAATGGATAGGTTTTTTTTTAGGGAGTTATACAATGCTCTAGCCTGCTAAACAATTACTCTTGACCACTGCCCAGCTTTTCCAATCATATGAATGAAACTATTATGTAAGAAATGTTTCTTCTATAGAGGAAATACGAATTTAATTTTTGGAATATATATACTTGCATAGGAGCCCCCAGTAACACCGTGGGTTAAAACCCCTGAGCTGCTGAACTTGCTGGCCAAAAGGTCAGTGGTTCAAATCCAGGAAAGGGGGTGAGTTCCTGCTGTTAGCCCCAGCTTCTGTCAACCTAGCAGTTTGAAAACATGCAAATATGAGTAGATCAATAGGTACCGCTTCTGTGCGAAGGTAATAGCACTCCATGCAGTCATGCCAGCCACAAGGCCTTGGAGGTATCTATGGACAATGCCAGCTCTTCGGCCCAGAAATGGAGATGAGTACTACCCCACAAAGTCAGACACGACTAGACTTAATGTCAGGGGAAACCTTTACCTTTACTATACAATGCCAGTGTGGAGTAGTAGTTTCAGCATTGGACTACAACTCTGGGGACTACGGTTCAAATCCTTACTCAGCCATGAAACCTACTGGGTGGCCTTGGATAAGTCACATTCTCTCAGCCTCACAACAGTGCAAAGGGGAAGATCTGAACAAACTTTGCCAAAAGCCCTGTGATAGGTTCACAATAGATTGTAGACACACAAAAGCAACAACAATACCGTCCTAATTAAAATATGGTTTTAATTTTGTTTTTCTTTCATAATATTTTTGTCTTAATTTTGGACTTTTTTAAAATAGAGGTTTTTATTGTATTTTCTGCCTTTCTGTAGGATGCCTTATGTATCAGTTTGAGAAACTCTTACCCTTCAAATGTAATAACAATTTACCTTGGGAAAATATGGTATTAAAATGTACAAATAAGCCATTGCCCTGATTTGGAATTTTTAGAATTCGACCAAAGCAAACAGATTTATTTTGTAACAAAGCCAACAAGGTTAAAATTCTGCTGTCCTTGTGTTTAGAGAGAACCTACTGCTCTCAGTCTTGTTTAATAGTCAATTCCATACTTATTTACAGTTCAAAATTTTGTTTGCTAGACAACTCCTTATGGGAATGCTTACCTTCAGGTCTCCGTCCTCCAAATATGATCCCCTCAATTGGCACTCCTTCCGGAGCCTCCCAGGCAGGGTCAATAATGGGACACTGGCTGGCCGGAGTGCAGAACCGGGAATTGGGGTGCGCACAGGGTTCCTCTGGACAAATAACAGATACAGATGTCATCAGTGTCCCATTAGACAAAAAGAAAAATAAAAAGGGAGGAAGGAAAGAAGGAGGAATGGTAGATTTCCCCAACAAGTATTCATACCATTCTTGGCTGTCCATTCTTTGTTTTTCCATGATGTGATTGTCACTCCTGGGGCAAGTTCCTTATCAATGCCTTCCCAATAGACATCTCCATCACTGGTTAGCCCCACATTGGTGAAGATGGTGTTCTTCTGAATGGTCTTTATAGCATTGGGGTTGGTTTTCACTGATGTTCCAGGAGCAACTCCAAAAAAGCCATTCTCCGGATTGATTGCTCTTAAATTACCTAAGTGAATTGCAAAAGTAACAGGAGCTTCAGGTATCTAATAATGCAAACACACTATTCAATGAGATGGAAAATCTGTTCTGAATTTCCATCTATTCAAGATCCTCAACCATCACTCCCAAACAGGTTCAGCACCCTGGATATTTTCTTTAAAGTTGGAGTAAAACTCTGAGCAGATTCGCTATTCTTGTATCCATCTCTGTTTTTTTCTTTTCTTTTGAGGTTCTTCATACTGTGAACCCTTATATAGTTTCTCACCATACAACAGACATTGTTAGATCCGAGAAATGAATAACTGCACAATACATTTATAGGTAAAGCAATTTCATTATTCAGCAGGTTTTTGTTCCATTTGTCACTATGTAACACTAGTCTCTTGTGTACGTTTTTCCTCCATTGGCTCCTACTTTTAATGGGTGTGTTTTATAGAATGTTTTCACTGGTTATGTTGTGTTCTAACTATGTTGTAACCTGCCTTGAGCCACGAGGAGAACCAAATAAGAAATAATAATAATAATATTTATTATTATTATTATTATTAAAACCAAAATATTCCAGCTATTCCTTTCATAAGCAAGGCCTTGGAGCTATTGACCAGTTGCTACCTCCCTTTTGCAGCTGCAGCCACAAATCTCCTATGGATAGATAAACATTTCTTAGTAAAAGTAAAGGTAAAGGTTTCTCCTGACATTAAGTCTAGTCATGTCCAACCCTGGAGGGTGATGCTCATCTCCATTTCCAAGCCGAAGAACCAGAGTTGTCCATAGACACCTCCAAGGTCATGTGGCCAGCATGACTGCATGGAGCACGATTACCTTCCCGCCGGAGCGGTACCCATTGATCTACTCACATTTGTATGTTTTTGAATTGCTAGGTTGGCAGAAACTGGGCCTAAAAGCAGGAGTTCACCCTGCTCCCCGGATTCAAACCACCGACCTTTCGGTCAGCAAGTTCAGCAGCTCAGTAGTTCTACCCGCTGTGCCACCAAGAGGCCCTTTTAACATTTCCTAGCAAATTATAAAAAATTTTCTTCCCCAGGAACAGCCCCTAAGTCCCCATTGGGGAGATGGTGGCAGGGTAATTATTATTATTATTATTATTATTATTATTATTATTATTATTAACAAGGAAATACCAGCATGATCAATGCATGACAACACCCATAATCCAGTTCACATAATACGCACACCAAATGAAGAATAAACATGGCAGGACTCATGCTCCTGGCACAAGGAAAGAACGAACCTCAGTTTTAAAATATTTGAATATGACTGGGGGGATTCGGGGGGGGGGTGGGTTGACAGATTTTCACATCCTCCCTCCCCAGCGTTGGTTTTCAGTTATGCCAAAATTATACATCCTTTTAAGGTGCTTTAATTATCACTCAAGAGCTTTTCCTTGCTTCAGCTAATGCACATTACAGGTGTTCACAAGATGTGCTGTTCCCACTTTAAATGTCATCGCACTCCCTCCAGGGAGAGCAGGAGAAGATGTTCCCACACCTTAAGTATGACTAAGATTTGGATGCAATCTCACAGGTATCCTTCAAGCCAGCCCCATTGTCATTTCTTTTCCTGCTGAGAGACATGCACAAAAGTGGGAGAAAAGCCTCGCTTGACGCCTTGACAGTTTCTTTCTCTAAAATGAAAGTATTACTCTGTTAGTGCACTTTACATGCCTTTGAGAGGGGAAGGAGAACAATGATTTCCTTTCCTCCATCTTGATGCATCAGTGCAAATGGTGGCAGGGAAAAAAGAGAAACGGTACAATTTTTTCCAGTTATGACCCTTATAAGGTCTTCTTCTAATCATCTCAGGTTTAGAGGAGTCCGACAATAGGACGTCTCTAAAATTGACATGACTTCCTATGCATATACACTTCAGTAAGATGGATTTTGAAATGCTATGAATAAGCCTTTCTCAAATATGCATAGTTTTGGTGGAATTATGACTGAATGTGAACTTAGACAAAACATCTCTTCAAACCAAACATGCACAAGAATGCAAAGGGGTCAAATTGTAAAAACTTGTAATTCCTGATTTAAACTACATACGTATTACATAATTGTAGACCCTGCTTGACCATACATTGATTTCAATCTGATATAAGCAAAAAAAATTGCATTTCTCTCCTTCAGATATGAAGAAAATAGAAAAGGGAGTAAATCCAAACTCGAAGGAATGTATATACCAGGTTTTTGGTTGTATTTTTGTTTTTTGTTTTTTGTCGTGTCAGGAGTGACTTGAGAGACTGCAAGTTGCTTCTGGTGTGAGAGAATTGGCCATCTGCAAAGACGTTGCCCAGGGGACACCCAGATGATTTGATATCTTTATCATCCTTCTGGGAGGCTTCTCTCACGTCCCCGCATGAGGAGCTAGAGTTGATAGAGGGAGCTCATCCGCCTCTCCCTGGATTTGAACCTGTGACCTGTCGGTCTTCAGTCCTGCCAGCACAGGGGTTTAACCCCCTGCGCCGCCAGGGTCTCCTATATATCAGGTGTGAAATGTGCTTTTGAAATGAAGTGGGGCAATTCCAGAGTTTGGCTCCAAGAGAATGTCTGTTCTACAATCTGACACTTTCCTGAAAACCATACCTTCTGATGTTTCACTGATCAAAATGTTGTAAAAGTAATTGAAGATTACCTGGGAAGGCCAAGAGCTTGAACACTGTTCCCACCCTAAATATCTTGCCATCACCTTAGATCGTAGACTAACATTTAGGAAACACTGTGCGAACACCAAGCACAAAGTAGCTGCACACAATAAGATAGCACATGGGATGCAGACCCAGAATTAATAAGAACATCAGCCCTGGCCTTGTCTTACTCAACTGCTGAGTATCCCTGCCCCGTCTGGCATACATCTGCCCACATGAAGAGGTGAATATAGCACTGAATGAAACACACAGAATAATCACAGGATGTCTCAAACCTACACCTGTTGATAAGATAGCTGGCATTGCTACTCTGATGTGTGACAGGAAGTTGCTGCCAACTGTGAGAGAAATAAGATCGAACACTGTGAAAACCACCCACTGTATGGCTATCAGCCTCTTCTCAGTAGACTCAAATCAAGGAAAAGTTTCATGAGACCCACCACTCCTCCTAATGTTCCCCCAGCAACAGCAAGAATATTCCTGTGTGCAGAAAAATCAGGCAATTCCAACTGGATGGCTCCTCATGAGGGTCTTTCTCCAAGGGCAAACCAAGAATGGGCAACTATGAAGTCCCTGAACAGACTCAGTTGAGTTGGCAGATCATGACAACCTGGCAAAATGGTACTACCTAGAAGAATCCTCCACCTTGTGCAACTGTGAAGCAGAACAAACAACTCTGCATCCGTATGCTTGCCCACAATGCCCTGCCTCATGCACAGAGGAAAAACGATTCAAAGCTACAGACAATGCAGTTGCTGTTCCCCGTTTTTGGTCTGAAACTATTTAGCTACTTGCGATCCCTTTTATCAGTTTTAAACTTATGCAATGCTTTTGATACAATATAAACAGATGAAAATGAGAACATGTCTAGCCACACAACACTGCAGTAAGAGAGGCTGCAGCCATTTGCTTTTATCTAATATACAGGGAAGTTAGAGATTTCACCCCTTCGTCTCTTCTCTCTCCAATGAGTACAAATGGTTTTTGCATTTTGAACTTAATTTGAAGCAAACTGAGAAAAAAGGGAAGAAGTATGGAAGGCAGAAGAGAAACACTGGGATGTTCCAAAAGCCCCAGAAAAAGGACAGCAGAGGATTAATGGGACTGTCCCTGTTGAACTGGGATGTTCTATGGATGAGAAAAACAAGAATTCGCCAGAGTTAGTTCAAACATTCCCGGATTCTTTTTGATCCAAGAAGTTCTCCGAAATAAACTTCACTACACATGGCATGTAATTTTTCCAGCATGTCTCCAGCTTTTATTCATTTAGTTCGATTCACTTTGGGAATTTTACCATCTTATTATACTGCACGATATGGAGCACTGCTTAAGAATTACAATGCAGTGAAGTCAGACTGACTGCAACACTGCAAGAAAAGAGGTGTATTTGATCCAGGACATTATCCTCAAACCTTTGTTGCTCCATAAAGTGCTGGCTTGGTGCCACAGCCATTTCAGTTTCCCTTTGAATGCTATAAAACATAATTGATACCTTGGTCATCAAATTTCATCCAAGCAATATCGTCTCCAATGCACTCAATTTTCCATCCTGGCAGAGTTGGTTTCATCATGGCCAAGTTGGTCTTTCCGCATGCACTGGGGAAGGCTGCGGCAAAGTATTTCTTTTGGCCTTCTGGGTTTGTGATCCCTAAGATCTGTTTTTAAAGCACAAAATGCACAATTTTAAAGCACATAATGCTACAAGTCATAACAGCATTAAGGGATTTAGAGTATTAATAACTCTAGACTACTAAACAATTACTCTTGACCACTGCCTAGCTTTTCCAATCATATGAACAAAACTATTATCTAAGAGGTGTTGCTTCTACACAATGCAGCATAGAAGCCCCTGATGGCACAATGGGTTAAACCTTTGTGCCAGCAGGACTGAAGACCGACAGGCCACAGGTTTGAATCCGGAAGGGAGATTCCCTCTGTCAGCTCCAACTCCCCATGCGGGGACATGAGAGATGTCTCCCACAAGAATGGTAAAACATCAAAACATACGGGCATTCTCTGGGCATTGTCCTTGCAGACAGCCAATTCTTTCACACCAAAAGCAACTTGCAGTTTCTCAAGTCGCTTCTGACACAGGAAACAAACAAAAAAAACAAAACAAAAACAAAAACCAATGCAGCATAGAGGAAATATGAATTTAATTTTTGGAATATACTCATATATGCTTGCATATTATTTTTTCATATTTGCATATTGTGATTTTTTTTGAAAAAAAATCACATGCAATTATATTTTATTGATAAATCTATTTTATTTATTGTCTTTTTTTCTTGCTCAGAGCCCCTGGTGGCGCAGCAGGTTAAACCAATGAGATGCTGAAGTTGCTGACCAAAAGATCAGCGTTTTGAAACCGGGGAGCGGGGTGAGCTCCTTCTATTAGCCCCAGCTTCTGCCAATCTAGCAGAATGTGAGTAGATCAATAGGTACCGCTGCAGCAGGTAGGTAACAGTGTTCCATCTATGTCAGGCATCCACAGAGGTTAACCTCACAACCTCTGAGGATGCTTGCCACAGATGCAGGCGAAACGTCAGGAGAGAATGCTTCTACAACATGGCCGTACAACCTTTAGATGAAGGCAATGACAAATCCTCTTTGAATGAACTGCATGGAATGCCGTTACCTACCTGCTGCAGCAGTACCTATTGATGCTGGCCACATGACCTTGGAGGCATCTATGGACAATGCCGGCTCTTAGAAAAGGAAGTGAGCCCCACCCCCCAGAATCATGGTCGACTAGACTTAATGTCAAGGGGAAACCTTTACCTTTACTTCTCTTGTTCTTTCTCCAATTAGCTTTAGGGAGTCTACATTTAAACTCAGAACAATCCTACGCTATAAAAGGGAAAGACTAACATTTTAATCCTGGTCTTCTCAGTTACAGTCAAATATTCTAATATTGCCAAGGAGATTTCAAATATTTAAATATATTACTTTCAAATATTTAAGAAAATATTAATATTGAAGAAAAAACTTACTTGAAGGCACACTACAACATTATGATTTGCAAATATACATTGGGAACTTGAGTGGTGGAAATGGCAAAGCACCTTCTCTAGCCTTTCTGTTTCAAGTTGTCTGTTTTCAAAGTTATACTTTATTGAAGCATGCGGAAAGTACTCTGGGAGTCTGCTTTACTCATTTCTGTGTGTATTATTTCTTGCTTGGCTCAGAGATGAAGTGCAGTAAACCATTTCATAGCACTTGTGAATTAAATGTTGGAAAACACAATGCAGTGTGAGCGCCTCCTAGCTGCTGAATGTGCTGGGTTGGTTCTAAATAATGAACACTGTATATTAAAATGTATTGTCGAAGGCTTTCATGGCCGGAATCACAGGGTTGTTGTAGGTTTTTCAGGTTGAATGGCCATGTTGTAGAAGCATTATCTCCTGACGTTTCACCTGCATCTGTGGCAAGCATCCTCAGGGGTTGTGAAGTTAACCTCACAACCTCTGAGGATGCTTGCCACAGATGCAGGCGAAACGTCAGGAGAGAATGCTTCTACAACATGGCCATAAAAACTGAAAAACCTACAACAACCTTTATTAAAATGCTTCCTACCAGCATGTGCTCAGCAAGCCAGCCCTCTTCCTTGGCAATCCGACTGGCAATCCTGAGAGCAAAGCACTTCTTGCCCAGCAGGGAATTTCCTCCGTAACCGCTTCCAAAAGAAATGATCTCTCTGTGATCCGGGATGTGAGCAATCAGAGTCAAATCTGGGTTACATGGCCAGTTGCATACCAGAGCCCCTAGAAATACAAAGCACCATTTGTCACACAGGTTGCTTCCACCTGTAAAACTAATACAGTTTGACACTATTTAGCCGGCATGAGTCAATGCTATTGAATCCTAGGATTTGTAGTTTGACGAGTTACCAACACCTTTGGCAGAAAAGGCTAAAAACTACAACTCCCATTATTCCATTGCATTAAGTCATGGCTGTTAAAGTGGCATCAAACTACATTAATTCCACAGTTTAAATGCACCCTTAGAGAAGATTGTAATGTTTTACTTTAATATACATTTTTATTTTAAGTGCAAAATATTTTGAATATAATATAAACTACAGCTCTAACAAATAAAAAAGAAAATATAAAACAACTCCAAAAAATGACAAAATACTTTAAAAATAATATATAAAAAGAAACAAAAAGGAGAAAGACTAAAACACTGACATTCAGCTTTCTTACCAATGGATGTATATCTTATATGATTTAATCTATTACACAATATAACATTATTCTACTACTGATTTTCAAAATCATATTTAAAACTTTTAAAAAAATGTTCTTATTTTAGAATAGATGGATTTTCCATATTTTCATTCTCTACAAAGAATAAGACAGTCAAGAATTCGTCTTCTTTTGCAGGTACCACCAATAATTTCCTCAGAATCTTAGATATCTTAAGCATGACACCTAAATTCAGCATCCAGTTACTGACATGATGATATTAACATCTTAATATAGTGCTTCCCTTTTTTTCATCAAATACATTCTTATATCTAATCTTATATTAAACTATCATACCTATGAATCTAACATGTATCAGATCCACTTTCAAATTTTAATATTTATTTTACTTTTCTTTGTAGAGTGCAGTAAACCATTTCATAGCACTTGTGAATTAAATGTTGGAAAACACAATGCAGTGTGAGCGCCTCCTAGCTGCTGAATGTGCTGGGTTGGTTCTAAATAATGAACACTGTATATTAAAATGTATTGTCGAAGGCTTTCATGGCCGGAATCACTGGGTTGTTGTAGGTTTTTCAGGTTGTATGGCCATGTTCTAGAAGCATTCTCTCCTGACGTTTCACCTGCATCTGTGGCAAGCATCCTCAGAGGTTAAACCTCACAACCTCGGAGGATGCTTGCCACAGATGCAGGCGAAACGTCAGGAGAGAATGCTTCTAGAACATGGCCATAAATGAAAAACCTACAACAACTTATATTAAAAATGCTTCCTACCAGCATGTGCTCAGCAAGCCAGCCCTCTTCCTTGGCAATCCGACTGGCAATCCTGAGAGCAAAGCACTTCTTGCCCAGCAGGGAATTTCCTCCGTAACCGCTTCCAAAAGAAATGATCTCTCTGTGATCCGGGATGTGAGCAATCAGAGTCAAATCTGGGTTACATGGCCAGTTGCATACCAGAGCCCCTAGAAATACAAAGCACCACTTGTCACTCCTTGTTACTGGTCACACAGGTTGCTTCCACCTGTAAAACGAATACAGTTTGACACGATTTAGCCGGCATGAGTCAATGCTATTGAATCCTAGGATTTGTAGTTTGACGAGTTACCAACACCTTTGGCAGAAAAGGCTAAAAACTACAACTCCCATTATTCCATTGCATTAAGTCATGGCTGTTAAAGTGGCATCAAACTATATTAATTCCATAGTGTAACTTCACTCTTAGAGAAGAGTGTAGTGTATTACTTTAATATATATGATTTCTTTTATATTTAATATTTTAATTGCAAGATATTTTGAATATAATGTAAACTACAGCTCTAACAGATAAAAAATAAAATATAAAACAACTCCAAAGAATGACAAAATACTTTAAAAATAATATATAAAAAGAAACAAAAAGGAGAAAGACTAAAACATTGAAGTTCAGCTTTCTTACCAGTGGTTGTATATCTTATATGATTTTACTTAAACTATTACACAATATCACATTATTCTACTACTGATTTTCAAAATCATATTTATAACTTCTAGAAAAACGTTCTCATTTTAGAATAGATGAATTTTTCCATATTTTCATTCTCTACAAAGAAAAAGACAATCAAGTATTCTTCTTCTTTTGCAGGTACCACCAATAATTTCCTCAAAATCTTAGATATCTTAAGCATGACACCTAAATTCAGCATCCAGTTTCTGACATTACGATATTAACATTTTAAGTAATATAGTACTTCCCTTTTTATTTAATCTTATATTAAACTATCATACCTATGAATCTAACATGTATCAGATCCACTTTCAAATTTTAATATTTATTTTACTTTTCTTTGTAGAGACGTTGGCAGGATAACATACATTTCATATTAATTTTGGTATAACCCAGGACTTTATATGCGGATTTTAATGTATCAAACATCTCAAAACAGCAAATTATGACAGATAAGACCGATCTTTAAAACTTCACTTTTCCATTTTTAATATACATGATGAGAATATGCATAATTTCTGTACTGAAATATATGCTCGTACACACTAGACTTGAGTCCGGAACCATTTTTAGCCATTCCCTTCAGCCAATCCAGCTCCTTCGGTTTGATCCAGTATTCGGTCCGGCTTACCTATCTGAATGTATCTCTCCTTATGAACCACCTAGGACTTTAAGATCATATGGAGAGGCCCTGCTCTCAATCCCGCCTTCCTCACAGATGCATTTGGCGGGGATGAGAGACAGGGCCTTCTCAGTGGTGGCCCCTCAGCTATGGAACACCCTCCCCAGTGATATAAGATCAGCTCCCTCCCTTCTAACATTCCTCAAAATGGTTAAGACCTGGCTCCTTCAAGCAAGCTTTTTCTACTGGAGCATAATTAGATGCAAAAGAATATATGGAATGACTGACGATGCAACTGGACAAGTAAGGAGACGCCGAGGATCTTGTTTTTACAGATATATTTGCTTTTTATTTTACATTTTAAATGTTGAATTGTTTATAATTGTTTTAACTGTATGTTGATATTTGTTATGGCATCAAATCGCTGTCGACCGTGAACCGCCTTGAGTCGCCTCTGGCTGAGAAAGGTGATATAAAAATGCGGTAAATAAATAAATAAATAAATAAATACCCCTGCAGTGTTCTTTGCACAGCTAACACTCATACATATACATGTACTTGCACATACATATATTTGCACAGGCACAAACACATACAGTAGCAATCAGATCCATATATAGCACATGTTGCATACATTCTGTATGATAGAGATATGGCGATATGAAAACTAATCTGCACAACTAAACTGACAAATAACAGCTCCAAAACTCTGTTGGTGGTATCCTTGATAAACAGTTTTGGATCCATGATCTTCCAATGCCTTAATCAAATTAATATGTGAGTCTACATTGCCATATAAAATAAATTTGCCTGAATATTGTGCTAGATACGACAAATAAAATAATAAAGATTGTGCATTTTGGCTTGAAACATGCTTACTTTTTAAAGGCAAAGGGCACCCGACTGAATGGAGGCATTTCACAAATTCCCCGTTGCCAAGAGCTTCTAGGACTGACGTTCCCATCCGTGTCATAATTCTCATGCTGGCTACCACATATGGAGAATCTGTCAATTCGATCCCAAACTTGGACAAAGGAGAACCAATGGGTCCCATGCTGAATGGGATAACATACATGGTGCGCCCTGTAAAAAAAGAAACAGTAGGGATTTAGAAACAGCAGCTCTGGAAATATATGACCAAAATCCTACATTGTGCTTACAAAATGAAGGTCTTCACCCATATAGTTACATAGTATTTGCACTATTCCATTTTTTTTCTGAATTCTAATGTTGTACATCTTATTTCTCCTTCCTGTAACAGGGAACTCACAGGCTGGATCTACACTGATGTATAATGAAGTTTGAAACCACATTACATGGTCAGTGGAGACGTATATAATGCAGTTCAGTGCTGCTAAACTGCATTATATGAGTTTACACTGACCATACAATGCTGTTTCAAACTGCATTAGATGGCAGTGTAGATCCTGCCACAGTGCATGTTACTGCAATCCTTGTGCAGAAGATAGTCTATCAGAGGCACTGGCAGACAGTGGTGCACTATCCAAACACTCTAAAATCAGGACAGTAAATAAAGAGCAACATGCAAAAAACAGAAGAATTCCAAACATGAATCAACCAAGGCCAGCTAATCACCTCCCAACAAAGGATTTCCCCAGGCAGAAGGCAGCCAGGCTTTGAAGCTGCAAGGCTATTCAGTGCTAACAAAGGTGGCTAATTGCAACATTCACACTTGCCTCAAGGAGTCAAGAGTTCTTTCTCCCACTCTGGACAAAATTCTACATATATAAAAACCTCCCTTGCCTAGTTTCCAACAGACCTCACAACCTCTGGGGATGCCTACCAAAGATGTGGGTGAAATGTCAGGAGGGAGTGCTTCTGGAATATGGACATACAGCCTGGAAAACTCACAGCAACCCAGTGATTCCGGCCATGAAAGCTTTCAACAACACATTATTCAAACATTTTGCACCATGTGGGTGATGGCTGCATTAAAGAAAACAATTTGATTCCAAAGAAACCTTTTTTGAAACAGAAAGTAACTTCCACTCATTTCTTATTTTTAAAAGGCTATGTGTGGGTTTATAATGGACCAAAATATGCTATCAGAGGGTATCTGGGGCAAAAGAAAATCTCTTTTTGGGAGGTGGGTGCAGTGATGTGGTGGCACCATACAAGTTCTGTTGAGGGACCAATGTGCTCCCCTAGATTTCCATAGTAACCTACTCCTTAAATAGTTACACAATTAGAAATCCACTTATGCAACCATGAATTAAATATATGCTTTGCAAAATCACACCACAAAAACAATAATGGCCAAAGAAAACAGTCACTTGTACAAGGGAATTTATGTATCTGTATGGCACCTTCAAGCTTCCTGCCAATGTCACCACCTGATTCCAATACATTTTAATCACCTTTTCCAAACACGTCCCTTTTCCGTGTTTTAGAGGCCTTTTAGAAAGTAGAAGCTGAATACTAATTGTTTTAAAGTTGATTGACAGCTGTCAGAAAGCACTATATAGGCACAGGTTTGCAAATTTTAATTTAAATGAACCAAAAGTGGGAGATGTAAGCTGCAAGTTTCAGATATATTTTCTCTATCTTGCTGGAAACCCAGGACATACAGGATCTTATTGTAGTGTGGGTGCCTTCAAGTAATTTCTAATAAACCCAAAGATTCTCAAAGCAGATAAGAGCAAAGCAGACAGCAATCTCCCAAAGCAGACAAGAGCATGAGGCACAAGGCACGGAGGCTGCTCCCTTGAAGCCCTAAAGCCCTTCACTCTCGCATTACTGCTCCCTCTGGCTCTAGCTCTTAGCCCAAAATGCTGCTCATATTTCAAAGTGAAACAGGGCCAAGCAATTCTCTTAAATCAAACAGTTCTTAAGTTGGGATGCTCTTAAGTCGAGGTTCCACCGTATAACAAATAGGTTAAGCAAGAACTCCCATAACTTGTTCCACATTCCCAACTTCCAGAAACCTATCAGATTTGTTCAGAGGACATTTGTCTTTGCCTTCCTCTGAAGCTGAGAGAATGTGACTTCATGTTTGCCTTAGGGTCACCATAAATTGAAAATGACTTGAAAACACAAAGCAACAACAAGCCACCTTGGATCCTATGCTAGGAGGAAAGTAGCCTATATATTAAATAGGTGATGGAGAGATATAGATAGATAATACTTTCTGCAAGAAGTCCAGCACACAGCAACCAAAACTATCACATTATTTGTGTTCTTCCTGGGAGTTGTAGCTTTTCTGTGCATCATTTCCACTCATTTTTTGAGATTTTTTAAAAAATTAATTAATTATAGACACAAGTAGAGTAATACAAATTTCAATAATGAAATTCCACTTACGTTTTCACTCAATATAATAGGTATTTTTTGTCATAAAATTAAGGGTAAGAGCAGCACTAACAAAAAGACAGATATCATAAAACATATGATAAAAGTGGTCTAAGCAACAATAGCCTTGAGCTGGAAAGAGCAGGAAAATGGGAATTAAAAATGGTTTGAATATTTTGTGGACTGTATCCTCCAAGATTATATTTTTGAAAAGGGGAGGAAATACATGACAGGTTGTAAGAAGAATTTGGACTTGTAATAGGGAACTCTGGTAGCTAGAGTAAACGAAAAAAGAAAATATAAAGAACTACATCATACTCTCTTCATGATTGATTGATTGATCAATTCAAATAATACTCAATTTGAAGATATAACTATTCTCAGTGGGTGGGAAGCAAAAGGGGGGGAAGCAAAATGGATGGACACAAGTGATTGGGATTGGTAAGGTTAAGTACTGTATACACTCGAGTATAAGCCGACCCAAATATAAGTCGAGACACCGAATTTTACCACAAGAAAGCTGGTAAAACTTATTGACTCAAGTATAAGCTGAGGGTGGGAAATGCAGCAGCTATTGACAAATTTCAAAATAAAAATAGATACCAATACAATTACATTAATTGAGGCATCAATAGGTTAAATGTTTTTGAATATTTACATAAAACTGTAATTTAAGATAAGACTGCTCAACTCTGATTAAACCATTTTTCTAACCACCTTCAATGTAAATGTGCTTGCTTACGTATCCTTCCAATAATAATAAAAGGAGTAAAATAATAAATGTAATAATAATAATAATAATAATAATAATAGAGTAAAATGATGGTAATGTTAAAACAACAGTAATAATAGAGTAAAATAATACATGCAATAATAACAACAACAATAAAGTAAAACTATAAATATAAAAATAGAGTAAAATGATAAATGAATTAATAATAACAAATATAGTAAAATAATAAATGTAACAACAACAACAACAACAACGAGTAAAATAATAAATAACCTTGACTCGAGTATAAGCCGAGGGGGACTTTTTCAGCCTAAAAAAAGGCTGAAAAACTAGGCAAATACTCAAGTATATACATTATATTGAGTGAAAATGTAAGTGGAATTTCATTATTGAGATTTGCATTATTTTTTTGAGAAGTAAAAGTAAAAACATTGGTGCGGAAAAGAGGAGAGAGAACTTCTCAAGCTATCTTTTGACAAATTCATGAACAAGGAGTGGGGATAACAATGACATGGAGAACTGTAAATGTATCTGGCTTGGACTGAATGCATCTGGCAATAGGATGTTGTCAGGAGCACTAATACATTTCCGTGAAATTTCAAAAACCAGCAGGTTTTGTTTGGCCAGATTCAGTTAAGCAAAAAAAGGAAATGAATGTGTTTGTTGTGTGCCATCAAATTCTTTCCCACTATGGTAACTCTCAGGCAATACTATTATAAGGCTTTTCTTGGAAAGGCTTGCCATTGCCTGCCTCTAATGCTGAGAGAATGTGAGTTTCCTAAAAACTGTCCAGTTGGTTTTTATAGCTGAGAGTTTATTCAAACCCTGTGCTCTTAGAATCATAGAATCATAGAGTTGGAAGAGACCTCATGGGCCATCTAGTCCAACCCCCTGCCAAAAAGCAGGACAATCACATTCAAAGCACTCCTGACAGATGGCCATCCAGCCTCTGTTTCAAAGCCTCCAAAGCAGGAGCCTCCACCATACTCCAAGGCAGAGAGTTCCACTGCTGAACAACTCTCACACTTAGGAAGTTCTTCCTAATGTTCAGGTGGAATCTCCTTTAAGTCAGGTGGAATCTCTCTTGAAGTCCTGGTCCAACACTCAAACCACCATCCGGTGCTGGCTTTGAATGTGTCTATCATTTGAATCAAGATTCATCTGTATGACACTTTAGCAGGAAGAGTCCAGATTAATCCACTGTCATTCTGCTTTTTTCAAATGACTTTTAAAATGTCTCTTTCCTTCTGCTTTCTCCATTTCCCTTCAATTTACTTCAAATGCTACAAATTGAGTTCAGGTTGCAAAAGTACTTGGCACTCCATTAACCCAGCAAGATAGGGCTGGGAAAGGAGAGTCATTGGTAATCTTATCCCTCTTACAGGTTCAGGCAAAAGCAAACTGCTGCAACCTCTCCTAGCTTGTGCATTCTTCCTCACTAATAATGTTTGCAATCTGCAAAATGTTGGAAGACATGCTGTCATACCTATGAATATAAAGCAGCCACCTTTCTTTTCTAACCACGAATCCTCTTTCTCATGCCATTACCTGCCATGCAGCCAGGGAATCGGACACTAAAGGCTTTCTCAAAGTCTTCTTCTGACATCCAGCGTCCCAGCTGGCTTACTCCACTTCTGGGGACCGGGATGGTATCTCGCCTCTCCTGGGTGACAATGACAGTTTTGCTTTCAATTCTTGCCACATCCCTTGGATCTGTGCGAGCCAACCAGCTGCAGGGGAAAGAAATAGGATATTTACAAGGAAGATAAACTTCAGGGCTTCAGTTATGTCGGTAGTGGCTTTGTCACTAGAATGGGCTTCTGGTAGAGCATGGTTTGTATCCCTTTCAGCCATGGATGCATTTGAGCAAGTCACTCTCTCTCAACTTCGGAGGAAGGCAAAAGTCAAAACCATTCCAAACAAATCTCGTTAAGAAAACCTCTCTTTAGGGAGGAAGCAACTTGTAGGCATACGACATCTGGAAATCTCTAGGACCTACAGTGTGATTCTATGGTCAACCATGTTTTCCCACCAGCGTTATATAATGGGGGCCAACTGTCTGATCTGCTCCAGCTTTTGTGTGTCTGTGTGTCAGGAGTAACTTGAGAAACTTCTCGCTTCTGGTGTGAGAGAATTGGCCGTCTGCAAGGACGTTGCCTGGGGGGGACGCCTGGATGTTTTTTTTGATGTTTTACCATCCTTGTGGGAGGCTTCTCTCATGTCCCTGCAAGAGAAGCTAGAGCTGACAGAGGGAGCTCATCAGTGCTCTCCCCAGATTCGAACCTATGACCTGTCAGTCTTCAGTCCTGCTGGCACAAGTGTTTAACCCATTGCACCACTGGGGGATCCTATCTGGATAATAAATATTTTATTTCCTTAGTATCTACAATGAGCTTTCCAAACTATGTGTCACAACATGTTAGTGTGTCAACTGCAGTGTATAGGTGTGTCACACAAACATGATGAGAAACCTCTGAGTCTATGTGAAATAAGCATTACATCATATTTTTTAAAATATATAAATGGAAAGTTCATGAAAGATTTTGTGTCCCCATAATACATTTTGTCATTACAATTTATGTCTGTATGTCTTGTAAGACGTTGGTTTGACCTCTAGTTTTCTAGCAGAATTGAATTACTGTGTCGCAAAATGATGCATGTCTAAAAAGTGCATGACCAACATGAAATGTTTGGAAAGCCCTGATCTACAACAATGTAGTGTTTTGTCACAAAAAGAGTATTGTTTACACTGGACACAAAGAACTGACTAAATTTCACTGATGTAACTGCCCGATGAGCAAGTTTTTGGAGCAGAGGCAAGGTTCACTGGCATTTTGTATTTAAAAATGTATTATGTCAAAATAAGCTATCCAACTCAGCCTGTCTCAAACTGGTGTCCTTCAGATATGTTGAACTGAAACTCCCAGCTTGAGGTTATGGAAGTGGTAATCCAAGAGATCTGGAGAGTATCAGATTTACAAAGGCTAAGGTAATGCATGGCCTAAAACAGAGGTGGAAAAGTGTCCCCATTTGTGTTGCTTCTCAAGACCCTTCAGGATACCCTCAAAGACCCATGATACTTCAAATTTAATTTTGGAGAGCTGATCTGGGGACAATTGTCACACAAAAGTGGACACAAACAATCATTGTTTTAGCATGTCCAGCACACCCAAACTCCATCTTGCACAAATTACTTAAAACCACCTAGACACTGGGAAAACAAAGTGGTGTGATGTTTTTTTCATGTGCACTCAGTGTGCCCCATGATGACAAAAATTGATTGTTGCCCCTGGCTTATGTGTAGTCCCAACTTCCCCAAAAAACAAGGATTTATTGGAATGACAACTTTTCAAGTGGAGAGTACTGGAGTTTGGTGGCATCTTTCTCTTCCACAGATATATAAACCCGTTTCCTAGTTCCAACAGACCTCACTACCTCTGAGGATGCTTGCCATAGATGCAGGTGAAATGTCAGGAGAGAATGCCTCTAGACCATGGCCATACAGCCCGAAAAAACCTACAACAACCCATCTTTCTCTTGTTATCTTTGCAGACTTTTGCATTGCATGAGAGGAAGCACACAGCAGGCACTCCTGCAAGGCAGCACATGCTGACATCAGACCCTTAGAGAGCGGTAGAGACAGAAACACTACATCCCAAGGTGTTTTCACTTCTCTTTCTATTCCTCTCCTTCTTCTTCCATGTATTCTGATTAAATATTGTTTTCCTTTGCATCTGCTTCCTCCCTTCAGATAAAGGAGCTAGACTACATCCCCTGAGTTTTAAAAAGATGTTAAGTTGCATATTAAACTATAATTCCAAAAGATCAGTGGTTCCTAACCTGTGGTCCATGGAGCACCAGTGGTCCGCAAGTACTTAAATATGTTCCTCAGCCTCACTGTTACTACACTGTTGCAACAAGAGCAACTGTTCTCGTGAAACCCTCTTATCATGCCGAAGCTTCATTAAATATGGTTTTCTTTGAGTGAGCAGATAGTGACTACTGGATGACATATGTTCTGTAGGAGAAACTAGAGCTGATGTGGTTTATCCAGTGCAATTTTCTGAATCAGCACCCAAATAATCAAACCAAATCTAAAGTTGACCAAAAACGGATTTGTAACCCTTTTGGTACTAATGTTGGAGAGTGGTCCCTGGTCAAAGTGGTCCCTGGACAAAAAAAGATTGGGAACCACTGCCCTAGGTGAATATAGAATTAACCCTGTTTAACTTCCAAGATCAGACAGGATCTGGTATCTTTAGTATATGTGTGTGTGTGCTCTGTATAATGTTAGGATGATACAGTGAAAGGTAACTACGTTGCTAACCATTCTTTTTCGTAATAAAACAACAAACGGGAATATTATACTATTATTATTATCATCACAACACCCTAGACTTAAGAAGGATAAAACAGCAATTGAACAGTGGCTCTTTTCTACCAGTTGCAATCATTCACACTACATTGGCAAACACAAGCCATGGTCGATGTCATTACCAGTTCTCGTATTTCCCCAGCTTTTCGATCATGCCCTGTTCTTCCATCAGCTCCAGGATCTTCTTGTTCTCATTCTCTGAGCCATCACAGATGTGGATGGCCTCTGGTTGGCACAGCTTGGCATTGCTTTCAATGAAATCTCTTACATCTGGCGCCAGACCCTTCAGGTCACCCTGGATGACCTTTGAGGGGATGTTTCTCTGTTTCTGCTGCTGGGAAGGCATTGCTGCTTATTGGCAGGTGATAAGGAAGAGGTCCTGGCTATGCGCCACGTGATAAGGATAGCCAGCTGGGGAATAACAAACAAACAAACATAGTTTATAGGCAAATGTCTTACACTTCCTTTCTTTTTATCTCCCCAGTCCCCATTTCCTTCCATGCCATGTCTTTTTAGAGTATAAATCTGAAGACTGAGATTGCCGTGTGCGTGCGTGTGTATATGTATGTATGTATGTATGTATGTATATGTATGTGTGTGTGTATACACACACACCACACACACATATACATATCAGGTGGGATAGAGTGAAAAAAGTCACTTTTGCAACTTTTTGAACTGTTTAAGGATTTTCTTAGGAAAATAATTACCAAACATCTAGAAAACATTGCTAAATTTTGCTGAATGGAGAATGGAGACTGCTGGGGCTACATTTTGAATTACCAAAGATTGCAAGTGGTCTGTGGTCCATATTGTCTGGTTGACAATGATAAAACAACAGGAATGTCTCTCAAATTCTTCTGAAGCTAATGAAAATTCAAACTGAGACCTTGAAGTTACAAAACTTCTGTTCTGCTATTAAATTCTTCCTCAAATTTTAAACACACACACACAGATACATAAGATCCCATTTTAACTTTGTTGGTTTTTTTTTAAATGCAGGTAATGTACTTACTTTTTTGCAGTAGGCTCTTGTATTTAGCTTGGACAGGATTTGGCTGGTCCTTTCAGGTAGTAAAGTGTTGCTTACTGCAAGATCTCTGTGAGGTCTCTGGTTTTCCAGGAAGCATCTTCCTTCCTTAAATACTTTTCCTTGGTTGTGGTCCATCCCACTATCCAGGGCAAAAGAGGCTTGTCCTGTAACGTCATTCTTTGAAAACGTGGCTCCTGGTTCCTGGCCAAGAATGGACCATGTCCCCAGAAATGGCACCCCCCTTCCAAGAGTTTATCCTTTAACCAGCTCAATTAATGAATGCTTGGAAATGAGGCTTGTCAGTTTTTACTGCCTCATTGTTTTCTTCCAAGCCAGTTTACGAAACGTCTTGGCAGGCCAACCTTTGGCCTAATTCTATCCCAGTCTATTCCCCAGACCAGGGGAATTGTCGTCACCTTTCAGTAGAAGGGACATGTGGAGAGCTCACTTACAAAAAAGAGAGACCGGATGGTTGCAACACCCGGGCAGTAATGTGTGCAATGGGTAGAAAAGCCGGTTGCGTCGTCACAGCAACTACCCGTTGGCTGTGGACTGGAGGCTCGCCCCTGGAGTGTTTACTCGCCTTTGGAAACATCCTTTGGCATGGGGAAAAAGGAGCAGGGTTGAATAGCTGTGGGAGGGAGAGGATGGAACAACATTGGCATGCAATGCACACAGTCCAGTTCCCATATCCCAAGTGAACTGGTAAGGGAGTGCATTCAAAGACATGGCCCGGCTAGTCTGGAATATCAGTATGCAAAGGGATCTTGTAGCACCTTAAAGGATGATTGAGGGAAGGAGCTTATTGTTCATAAGCTTTTGAACAATATGGGGTTGTCGGCCCCACCTGTACCCACCTTCATTCCATTACAGTCAGGATGCATAACGTATGGAGGTTTTTAACAGTCTAAGCATTTCTGGCCAAAATTAGAGGCAGGCAATTCAGCCATTGATTAGGTTACCAGGGTTAGCTACACTGTTTAACATGAGAATGCTTTTCTTCCAAAGCTTGAGATAGACCCCATTTTTGGTAGTAAATGAGGACCACAAAAAAACCCAACAAGACAAAATATTGACTCTTCATTTCACTGCAATTCCACACAATGCTCTAGCAGATTTTATTTTATCAGGCTTGCATAAATAGGCATACTCTACCACACTCCCAGTTTGGCAGAGACAGTACCCATTCATCCTATCATCCTACTTTTTCATCTCCCATTCGTCCCCCTGAGATAGCACTGGTGTTTTCCCCTCTTGTAGAATGGCCGTTGACTTATCCATGGATCCATATGAGAATTTTGGCCCCCAAAGTTGCACTCAACATATACATAAAGTTAATTTATACATGAGTATATATGGGTAGTTCATGTCTTATAGAGTGAGATGTAATTCAGTGGTAAATGAATGATGATGATGTCCAACTCTGTCACTCCTTTCCACCTGCTACTAAGGAGGCTGTCCAGGTCCTGAACCGGTGCTTGGCTGCTGTGACGATCTGGATGAGAGCTAACAAATTGAAATTGAATCCAGACAAGACAGAGGTACTCCTGGTCAGTCGTAAGGCCAAACAGGGCATAGGGTTACAGCCTTTGTTGGATGGGGTCACGCTCCCCCTGAAGACACAGGTTCGCAGTTTGGGTGTGATCTTGGACTCATCGCTGAGCCTGGAACCCCAGGTTTCGGCGGTGACCAGGGGAGCATTTGCACAGTAAAGCTTGTGCGCCAGCTGCGCCCGTACCTTGGGAAGTCTGACTTGGCCACGGTAGTCCACGCTCTGGTTACATCCCGTTTAGACTACTGCAACGCTCTCTACGTGGGGTTGCCTTTGAAGACTGCTCGGAAGCTCCAACTAGTCCAACGCTCGGCAGCCATGATTTTAACAGGAGCGGAGCGCAGGGAGCATACAATCCCCCTGTTGCGCCAACTCCACTGGCTACCGATCTGCTACCTGGCTGAATTCAAAGTGCTGGCATTGGCCTATAAAGCCCTAAACGGTTCTGGCCCAAGCTACCTATCCGAACGTATCTCTGCCTATGAACCCACCAGGACTTTGAGATCTTCCGGGGAGGCCCTGCTCTCGATCCCGCCTGCTTCTCAAGCTCGGCTGGCGGGGACGAGAGATAGGGCCTTCTCGGTGGTGGCTCTTCGGCTGTGGAACGCCCTTCCTACGGACATTAGACTAGCACCATCTCTAATGGTATTCCGCAAAAAGGTGAAGACCTGGATGTTTGTGCAGGCGTTTGAGTAATTTAGTGCAATCTGGTAATGGAACATAGGAATGGAACAATGGACGACGAACCTGGACTACGCTTGGATGATGAGAAGATTGGGTACGGTTGTGTTTTGTAATAATTGTGCATTGTAATTGCTTATTGGTAATTTTATGGATAATGTGTTAAGTCAATTGTTATATGTTGTATGGAACCACTGCTGTTTCTACTGTTTTTACTGTTTGTGAACCGCTGTGAGTCGCCTTCGGGCTTGAGATACAGCGGTATATAAGCAAAGTAAATAAATAAATAAATAAAATAAAATAAATATGGATGTGCAAACATTTATTTATTCATTTATCATGACAATCTCCATAATGTTTCCCTTAGGAGAGGTGTTTTTTTTTTAAAGTAACCAGTTAGCTTTGTTGATCTCTTTGTGTATGTGTTTGTATTTTCAGAGTATCTTTTCCAGGCATCAGAAAGAAAGTATTTTATCTCGAGTCAACAAAACAACCCTAAGCAGTTTTGATCCTTTACCAGAGGTTGGCCTTTCATAAAGCAAATTGGTCTTAATTGCATTTTCAAGACCTATTTGTTACCCGCAATAGTTTGTGTTACAAGAGGGATTACAAGAGGAATAGCATCCTGGCTGTATATTATTGCTGGGAAAGAGTCCTCCCCTCTTACCACAAGGTAATGTAAGAATTACAGCTCAGTTCAAAGGGAACAAATCTAAGGGTGGGTGGCAGGCAATTGAATTGATTCCGCCATTCGAAACATCCTGGCTTTGCTACACCACTGGAGTTGCTGGAAAATATTGAAATTGCTTTGTTGTTGTTGTTCATTCGTTCAGTCGTCTCCGACTCTTTGTGACCTTATGGACCAGCCCACGCCAGAGCTCCCTGTCGGCCGTCACCACCCCCAGCTCCTTCAAGGTCAGTCCAGTCACTTCAAGGATGCCATCCATCCATCTTGCCCTTGGTCGGCCCCTCTTCCTTTTGCCTTCCACTTTCCCCAGCATAATTGTCTTCTCTAGGCTTTCCTGTCTCCTCATGATGTGGCCAAAGTACTTCAGCTTTGTCTCTAGTATCTTTCCCTCCAGTGAGCAGTCGGGCTTTATTTCCTGGAGGATGGACTGGTTGGATCTTCTCGCAGTCCAAGGCACTCTCAGCACTTTCCTCCAACACCACAGCTCAAAAGCATCGATCTTCCTTCGCTCAGCCTTCCCTAAGGTCCAGTTCTCACATCCGTAGGTTACTACAGGGAATACCATGGCTTTGACTAGGCAATGGATCTTTGTTGCCAGTGTGATGTCTCTACTCTTTACTATTTTATCGAGATTGGACATTGTTCTCCTCCCAAGATCTTCTGATTTCCTGGCTGCCGTCTGCAACTGCAGTAATCTTCGTGCCTAGAAATACAAAGTCTGTCACTGCCTCCACGGTTTCTTCCTCTATTTTTGAAATTGCTAGATCTGATAAATTAAGAGAAAAGAACTGGAATCCCCTTCTTCACCTACTGTTTCGGGATTCGGTTGTGCCAATATCCTGAAGTTTCCATGCAACTGATTGTAATAATGGACAGACAGAATTCTGCCCACAATTTTCCTGAGTAGTAGGAGCTTGTGAGGGTGTTTTCTTTGATTTCTGTGAGCAATGGACCCATGGCAACATAACAAGCTTTTTTCAGTCCGCGATTCTTAACCTTTTTTGAGAATCTGGTGGACACTCTGGACTCCTCTTCTCAGGAAAATGGACTTGACACAATTTTTGAGAATCTGGTGGACACTCTGGACTCCTCTTCTCAGGAAAATGGACTTGACACAATTTTCCAAGTTAAGGAAAGAAGAAATTAGAGGGAGAAATGTATTTTTGTGTCCAATTTAGAGATACCCCAAAGAACCAGTTTTGGATCAAGTAGGATTAATAGGACGACTATGAAAAAACTAGATACGATCCTCAAGTGTAACCATATATAATTGCTGAAATGGACAAATTATCTAATTTGATTAGAGAGAAGTCATTGGATAAAATTTTAAAGGACTGGGAATTGTTTTTGACCTACATACAGGAGAAAGAAGGCAAGATTGTGCTCACAGAATTTGAAGACTGTTATACTGTATATGAAATGTTTTATGTTTTGCAAGGTTTTCCAAAAAATAGTTTAGTTTGATAATATAGAGAAGTCTAGTTGAGCCCCCAGTAGTGCAATGCGTTAAACCGCTGAACTGTTGAACTTGCTGACCGAAAGGTTGGCAATTCGAATCTCTGGAGTGGGGTGAGCTCCCACTGTTAGCTCCAGCTTCTGCCAGCCAAGTAGAATGTGAGTAGATCAATAGGTACCACTTCTGTGGGAAGGTAATGGTGCTCCATGCAATCATGCTGGCCATATGACCTTGGAGGCGTCTACGGACAATGCCAACTCTTCAGCTTAGAAATAGAGATGAGCACTACTCCCAGAGTTGGACACGACAAGACTTAATATCAAGGGAAAACCTTTACCTTTACCTGTAAGATATTTAAATTTAGTTTTTATGTATTTTATGTGTTGGGTAGAATAGTTTAGTTAGTGCTTACTGTTAATATTTAATGTGGTTCTTATATATTAGTAGTAGTCTGAAAGCAATTGTTCAGTATGTATTTGTAGGTATTTGTTCTTGTGTATTTTTCTTTAAAATGAGCATTTAAAAATAGTATAAATATATATAATTGAAAATCACAGTTCTTACCATTCAGGACACAGTTTTTCCCAATTCCTATGTATGGTTGTGAAAGCTGGACAGTGAACAAAGCTGGCAAGAAAAGAACCAACTTATTTGAGATATGGTGTCAGACAACCCAAAAGACAAATAAATAGATTCAAGAGCAAATGAATACTGAACTTTCCCAAGGAGCCAAAATGACCAAGCTGAGACTAGTGTACTTTGGACAACATGATTCATTAGAAAACTGCTCAGTAAAGTGGGAGGCAGCAAAAAAAGAGGAAGATCTCATTACAAGTGGATAGACTCAGGACTCGTCTACACCAGGCAGTTCATCTTGGTGTCAATATGTCCAAGAGCAGCTTTCAATACAGCATGTTAATACTGAATGTGGTTGCAGTGTCCAAAAAGCCTGGATGTGTGTTTGACAGTCCATATCCTGTTTCTCTGTGTTGTTGTCTTTCTTCCTGATTGTGTAGGTGGCCCATTCTGACATCAGCAGAGACCCCATTTCATAACCAGCTGGGAACACTGGTGGCACTGGTATGACCCATTGCTCCACTGATGAGTGCAGAGAAAGTATGGCAGTGCTCATATCCAATCT